GTCTTTTATCTTGTGATTTACACCTATCTTAAGCTGACACCCATTTGGACTTGGTTTTGAGGGAAATTTTGGTTTCTGCTCACTCCCAACTAACTGGTCACACAACACGTTGTAGATCATCTCCTGTACTTCTAAGCAGTACAGTTACAGGAGCCAAGCTCTGCCTTCAGATTGAAGAAAACAGTCTACTTGCTTTCCTGGAGAAAACATCAACAGACATGAGACAGGCTGGGCACTCACATTGTAAGAAAGTATAGTGACACACAGGCCAAAGTGTGATACACAGAGAAAATTATTGTCTGGTTTAGTTAGCAAATGCAGGTGATCCTGATACTATGACAGGGATAGAAAGTTCTGTGTTAGACATATACAGATTATGAGGTGGTCTGCTATTCAATCACTCATTTGTATATTCAACACATATTTCTTAGTGCACATTATGTCTCTGGCTAGGTACTGTGTATACCCAAGTCTATTAGAAAAATCGTGAAACCGATGGTCAGAAGGCCTGAGTCCTAGTTCTGGCCATGTCCACTACCTGGTGATATGATTTTAGACAAGCCATTTGGTTTTCTGGGTTTCTCTCTACCCATGCTAAAGTAGGAGATTTGCAATAGATGATTACTAATGTCTCTTCCAGCCTAAATCATTATGTAATATAATGTAATATAATTTTGAAATCTTCCAAAATATAACAACAAAACAGTAAAAATAGCTAAAGTAGCTATGTTCATTTATATGATGCTTATTACAAGGTAGTCTCTCTATATGCCCCATTTCTAATCTTCATGACAGCTGAGACGAAGAAATCAAAGTAACCTGTTTAAGTTGCTAAGTGAACATGCTTAATACCACATAATGGGTAAATTCCAGAGCTAGGATCTGAGTTCAGATGTCTCTGACTCCAAAGCCCTAATCTGTCCACTAATAGTATTCTGTCCTTGCTGTATAGTCTTTGAAGCAGAACTCCTTCATTGCCTTGGATCTGTCTGGTGACCTATTCGAGCACATACTTATTTTCATCACGAGGCTTGGGCTTCTCCCTCGGTCCCTCCCTCCTTCTTGAGTGATGGGCACAGGAGGGTGGAGGGGCGGGCCTACCTCAGCACCAGCAGCGCGATGAGCAGCAGCAGGACCACAGTGCCCGTGAGGGTGAAGACCGCGATCATCAGGATGTGAGGGCCTGCGGGGAAGGACAGGGAGCGGGTGATGCGTTAGTAGGGAACTTGTTGTGTAATAGCATTTGGGGGAGGGAAAAGGGAGAGTCCTTTAGAAAATATTTATCTTTCCTTAATCTCTTCATTGGTAATGCAGGTCCTGCATCCTCAGTCTCTGAAGAAAACTGGCATGTGCCCAAGGAAAGTGGTTTAATATCAGCTCTCCTCATACCCTCTGCATCTCTTTGCTTTCTCAAGGGACCCACCAAATGTTACAAGAACATAAAATGGGTTCCAGCACAATTTCAGTGGTGGAAGCCTACCTGGTGTCCTTAATACCCATATACCTAAGGAAGCTTCACAGAGGAAGAAAGAGACAGCTATATCTAAACACAGAGCACACATGAGAGAAGAACTGAGTCAGTGCAGGATACTAAGTGATGGTGTTGCATGCGGTTCTTTGCAAGCTCTCCTAGGTTGTTGAGGGAAGAGACAACGAAGAACATGATTTTATTTATTAGAACACTGGTGTGTGAGTGCGGTTGTGTAGATGGCTAAGTTGAGAAACTTTCAGAGTAAATGGAATCCAGCCCAAGGGAGCATTGCAAAGACTGAACATACGAAGGAGTACACCTAGATTGAGAAGGACAGCAATAAAATTGTACAAGGAAGGCACGGTTCACGTATGCCACAATGGATCCCTATTAATGTGAGTAGGTTCAAGAAGATAAAATGGAATGGATTCCAAGCACTAGACAGAATGTGTAGGAAGCTGGAAAATAATAGAAATATGGTGGAAAAGACATGTTCTTCTTACAGCAAGAACAAAACAAAAAAGAACCCTCTGCCTGGATGCAGGCAAGAAACAGAGCACGCCCGGCATCCTAGGTAGGAGCAGAGGGCAGCCTCCCCCGGGAAGCAGGCAAGGAGCACGCCCAAAACACCACTCCCTCACGGGTGGCCCACCACAGCCACAGCTGCTGCGAAAGTGGCTCGACCACAGCAGTAGCCACGGCCAC